ATGGATATTAACAATTTATATGAATATTAAATATATGTAATATTTGTGTTTTACTTGAGGTGTTCTGAATATACTTCAAACTTAGTATTGCATCTAATTGTCTGAACACATTTCAAGAAATCAGCCATTATATTTGCTATATTATGTAAACCTTTTATGGGTTCATCCATGCAGAGGAACTAGTAGAAACTATGAGGCTTCTACTATTCTGGGTTATTTTTTTGCAATTCTGTTATTTGATGCCTTGCTAATTTCCCACATACTGTAAGATATGAAAAAACTAAACTAAGGCAAAACCCTTTAGGTTAGACATAGGAAAGCCTTAACAGTAAGGATAGCTCTTAGCTGCTTTCCCGAGAAGGGTGTCCTGGGAGGTTTTTAACCTGGGTTTTTGTTAACCTGGCAGTCAGGAAAGATATGATAGAGTTGATTCTTTTTGAGGGAAGGGAGACTGATTACGTAGCTTCTGGGGGCTTATTTCTGCTTCAATCGGTATAGGAAAAGGCACAAACTTGGATGTATGCACTACATTTCAAATTAAAATTTCAGTTGTTGGTATCCACATGCAGGGGAAGAATATATGAGAACGAACAATTGCAGGAGGAAATGAGCTCTAGGCCTGCACCTCAAACCTTCCTCAAAGGTGAAAAGCTACAGCAATGTTCAGTTTTGGAAGGAGTTAGACCTGGACAACCGGCTGTTTATGACTATGGACAAGGACATCATTCCTCTGAGCACACTCCATGAGAATACTCAGTCCTTTGGGTTTGTCTCATTCATATAGCAATATGTTAGGGTCATATAAACTAAAGTGAATATCAATCTCTTATTTAGCAAGATCATTTTAGTCAAGATGTTTTCCTAAAGCATTTTATTATCTGATAATTCATTATACAGCTATTCCAAGAGCTTTCAGCAGAGTTGGAGTATGCTGGTAATGCCTGTGGTGCTGGTGCTGAGCAGCTGGGTGTATGAGAGCCTGAGGCAGGAAAGCAGCTGCTGGGTGGGAGCCAGAGCCCAGTTTGGTGGATGCCAGCAGGACACAAAATATCCCTCATCAGCTGCAGAACTTGCAGAGGCCAGGGATCAGGCCTAAACAAGTCTGACTTGCATTTCTCATCATAGCTGGGGGGCACCCCAGCTGAAAACAACAGAGCTGTCAAGGTGAGGCAACTCCAGAAGTTGCAATTGCGTTGTGAAAAGCAGGGGCAAACCAACTGTGCTTGGTGTGCCCCTGGGGCAGAGGAAGCCCTCACTTGAATAAAATGATGTTGCTTCTAGGCTCATGCTGGAGATGTCTTGAGAAAGGACATTTCTTTGTATTCCCAGGGTGATTTGGAAAAGATTTTTCTTTCTTTGAAGGGAGTTATTCTGATCAGTCAATCTTCTTGGGGCAAGGATTCAGTGTGCTGTACTTTTCCCAAAGGAAACCAGAGGGCTCTAAGAGGTGATCCACAGCACAGAACTGCAGCCTGCCAGCTGAGCAGGGCATGCAGATATAACCAAGGCAGGTCATGGGCACGGTGCTGTGGGAACATGGGTGTTTCAAGAATCACAGAATATTCTGAGTTGGAAGGGACCCAAAAGAGTCCTCAAGCCCAATTCTAAAGTGAATGGGTCTGGAGTTCTGGAAACGCATTTCTTCTCTTCATGTCTGTAAGTTGAGAGTGTATCAGGAAAGAAGGAAGAGAGAAGGTGCAAAAGCCATTCTACAGAGAAAGAAGCATTATTGGTAATGGCTTATGGAGACTTGCTGTATAGCTGTGTTGAGGTATTGTTTAGGTGTCACAAATCTAATTCACTGAATAAGAAGAAAAAGGCAATGAAAAGGATTATTGAGTTCAACCTTGGTGTAAAAACATGTACAGATCTAAAATGTCTGCCAGATGTTTATCAGACTTGTTTCTGAAGTTTCTAGTTGTGAAGATGTGAAAACCTCCCCAGGCAAAATTTCAGGTCTTCCCTGAGCTTCCTTTTCTCCCAGCTAAACACCCCCAGCTCCCTCAGTCAGTCCTCACAGGACTTGTGTCCCAGACCCTTCACCAGCTCTGTTGCCCTTCTCTGGACTTGCTCCAGCACCTCAATGTCCTTCTTGTAGTGAGGGACCCAGAGCTGGACACAGGACCCGAAGTGTGACCTCACCAGAGCTGAGTACAGGGTGATTAAAACTTACACAAGGCTTGTCTAAAAGGCCTCTGATTCCACTGACAGAATTGAGGGAATCAGTGGCTGGAGGTAGCACTGTGATTAAATAACAAGTCCTCTGCTCAACTCTTAAAGAAAATACACACTCCAAGCCAGTGCAGCAGAGCTGCATGTTCACTAGCAAAAGTATAGAATGAGCAAGCATGCACAAATCTTTCTTTGTCCCAGCTGGAAGCCTAATGAAAGTATTTTATAATTTGATACTGGACATTCAAATTGATTTTTTGTATGTTTTCATTACTGCTCAGCTCTTTATCTGTGTTTTTCCAAATTAATTTTAAGAATATTATTTTGAACTTACTCTCACTTATTTCTTTTATCAATATTTCTTTTTCTTTTCAATCAAGTAATTTCTTCTCCTTATAATTTTCCTAATTTTTATTAAATCTGTGCTATTTTCTCACAAAAGTGTTGGGTTTTCTCTGCTTCAAAAAGGTGACTCTATTTTTCACTGCATCATAACCTTTATTATGTTTTTCAGTACCTTACGATGAAAATATTACATTTGGCTTTTTTCCCCCTCAGTCTTTCTCATTCTGATTTTAATCTGTATTTCACACTTGCATGCTGTCTTTCCTACTTGGAGTATTGCATTGAGAAAATAAAGCTTTTGAACCTATTTATATAAGTTCAAACCAACTTGAAACCTGTTGTATTAAGGTAGGAAAGAAAAGGGGAAAGTGAGAAAGAAAAGCAAAGCATATTTACATGCAAAAAAATTCCTTATAAGCTTGAGCTGCAATATGAGCTAGCTCGTTGACAAGCATCGCCTGACAATGTATCCTGAGCGTGGTCTGACACTTTTTTCATGCTAGGGAGTTGTCACTCACTTTTTCCAAAAGCTATCGTTTGCTGCACCCTTCTGGACATTGTCAGCACAGCATGTTCTCCAGAAAATATCACACAACGTGAAGTGGGATTATAGAATCGTTTTCATCAGCAAAGATGTGATTCTATTTGTTGCTATTAGAACATGGGCATAAAAACCTCTCTGCTTTTGATTGTTCTAAGATTAAAATTAAATCCAAGAGAAAAGACGTTTCCGTGCTATTTGCTAGCAGATCTAGAGTGGTTTCAGACTTCTGCATCTGTAATCTATGGCATTTGCTATCTGAGGACACAGCAGACACTGCTGTCATTGACAGAAAAAGCAAGGCTTGGCTCCCTGTAGTTCATATCCCTGCTCATCATGTCCCACTGGATCTCTTGGTGACTCTACTTCTCTGCTGTATTAAACTGGGAAATCTTCAGGTCCTGCATGCCTTTCTACCCACCTCCCCCCAAATGGTCCTCTAGTCCTGCTTCCTTCCATTCATGTCCCCGTAATGTTTCTGTGAGTTGCTCCTGGCTTCCATGAAGACAGCCTGGCTCTTCCACAGCCATGTGTCCCCAGGATTCATCTATGTATGTGCTGACATGCTGGTTGAAGGGTACAGACCTGCTGGCTGGCCAAGCAGAAATCACAGAATCACAGAATAACTAGGCTGGAAGAGACCTTCAAGATCATCAAGTCCAACCATACCCTAAAACACCTCAACTAGACCATGGCACCAAGTGCCACATCCAGTCTTTTTTAAAATACATCCAGAGATGGTGACTCACCACCTCTCCAGGCAAAGCATTCCAAAACTTTATTATTCTTTCTGTGAAAAACTTCTTCCTAATATCCAACCTGTATTTCCCTTGGTGCAATTTGAGACTGTGTCCTCTCGTTCTGTCAGTTACTGCCTGGTGAGAGACCAACGCCTACCTGGCTAAAACCACCTTTCAGGAAGTTGTAGAGAGTGATCGAGTCACCTCTGAGTCTCCTTTTCTCCAGGCTGATGAGTGGTGATTGCTTCCACCATTAGCGTCTTTGTGGAAATTTTGGCTTCTTTTCTCTGTTCAACCACCCTTACCCCAAGTGACTCCCAGCACAGAGGGTAATATGCAGGACTCCCACCTTCCTCCCAGCTGTCGTTCTCCTCTGCCCTCCCAATCCCAGCTAAAGGCTACCCTGACTGGCCAGGCAAGTCAGTAGAAACTCCTGAAGGCACTATGGCTGGGAATGCCTGGCTTGCCTTAGCCGAGCCCCATGGGGTTTACAGACGTGACAGATGTTGCTGAATGTGTGGGGCACCCTGCATACACGCTGAGGTCTGGGCAGACTTGAGATATCAGTGGCTTTGCCTGGAGGTCAAAGCACATCATACACTGAACCAAAGTGAATGATGCCTTCCAAGTCATGAACAACAAAAACTAAATCAGAAATGGAAAAAAGCTGAGGGAAGTAATTTTCTTTCCTCCAGAAAGGGCATTGGAGGCTGTTAAAAACAATTCTGATACAGTGTTAGCATTACCAAGGTCTGTTTTGGGGAACTGACTTACACAGGAGCATAAATCAGCAGCAGTTCCAATCTAAAGCAGTCCAAGTCTCTGACTGGAAATACTATTGAGACATAAAGCGGAATACCTAGGACTATATGGAATTAGGTGTATAGATTGTCTTGTCCCATACTTTCCACTACTGCAATCCTCATCTTTACCTTAACAAAGTGATGCCAAGAAATCTGAGGGAAAAAAAACCCAAACACATGTCCCACAAAAGAAGTGCCTTCACATTTCCCAGTACTCAGTAGAAATTATTGAGCCTGATTTGGTAATCCATTCAATTCAAGGTTGTTTTCATAGCCATATTATGGCAAGGGGTGAACAGCACGGGAGAATGATTAACTTAATCCTCCTGCCTTGTTTTTTTGATGCTGCCTCACTCCAGTGTGAGTCAATAAAACTTTGTGCACCAACATACACAACTTCCAGCACCCACCAGCTGGGTCAAAATGGGGATTAGCAAAGCTGCCTTTCTCTTTCTTTTCTTGCTCAGCTCAGGTAAGAGTCCTTTGCCTTCTGCTTGTCTAGGTGAGACTGGGGCCAAACATTAACAAGTTCCATGTGGTGAAGGGAGATCCCTAAGTCAATGTGTCACTCGTTTTCCTGGACAATGATGGATTTGGGCCTTGCTGTCAGAAAGATATGCTGTTGAGTAAATCGAGAGCTGGGGTTGCCCCAGGGTTGTGTTCATTAGCAACACCAGAAGAGCAGCAGCCTTGGTGTCTGCATGGGCAACTAATGGCCCCAGGCAAATACTTCCCATGTCCAGAGACTGGGGCACCGTTGGGAAGCAGCCTGTCAAAGGCTTGTACAAAACCCATAGCAGCCAGTGAGAAGTTATCTCTAATTTCAGCAGGCTTTGGATCAAATGCTAAACATAAAGCTGTGTTTACTGCCAAGCATTGTTAAGCACAGTGATACTGATTTTCATCCTTTATGATAGGAGTTTTAAAGCTTGAAATTGAATATTTAAAACAAAATGAAAAATTAACAGGCTCCTTTATATTCCAGCAATTTCACATTTTCTGTTGTCAAACACAATAAAATGTTCTCCCTTGTTGTCCTGAGGGCAACAGGTAAAAATTTACTCCCCAGTAACCTAGATCACCTTTTCCAGGAATATGTCCAGAATTCTTTCTTACAACTCTGAAAGAAGATAGGTGTTCTATTGATATGGATTTCTAGGTTATCTACAAATTCCATAAATAAATATTCCATGTGTAGTACATATTTCAATCAGATTTCAATTAGATACTCTCTTGTACTTTGAAATTAATATAATTGCATGGCACTTAAATTACTTTTTTAAAGTACTGATAAATACATATCAGTACAGTTCAGCACATTTTTTTGAGTTTTTAGTAGTTCAGACACTTAAGGTCAGAATACCAGGGACATCATTGTATGATTGTACCAGGTTATAAAAAACAACTAAGAAAGTGGGGGGTTTTATTTGTTCATTGTTATCAGCTCTAGCTGACTTGCTCAAAAGTGATGGTCCACAACTGCCTTAAAGCCAATTTTTATGTCTTCTGGGTTAGTACTGGTCAAATCTGGGAAGATGCTTATGGAAATCAATAAATTTATTTGTTCACATGTATATAAGTATCCTGTTCAATTATCCTGTGCAATACCTGGGTTTATGTAGATTTTAGTCAGACTAATATATTCCCTGATGCATTTCAAATCTTTTATATTCTTTTCCTAAGTTTACACTTTGCAGTATTTTTCAGGCAACCAGTATCACCTTTTCTAAGGTTCTGCCAATCTGTTTTGCCTTTTAGGTTATGCATGTCATCCAGATTCTCATGTATTCATCCTTAATCCAACTGTAATAATTTTTTCTTATAGTCACTGAAAAGGTATAGTATCTAACATAGAGCTCTTTGAAACACAGTTTTAAGATAAGTAAATAAAGTTTGGACAGGAGTATTTGCTTTTTCTAGTCCCCTGGAACAGTGGCCTCAGTTAATTTAGGAAAAAATTCAGGAAAGGAAGCACTTGTTTACTGAATCCATCAGGAGAAATTAGTAGGCTAGGCTCTTGGTGCCCTGCATAATCCTGCTGTAACAGTAGGACTAGATATGGGAAGCCTCAGTGTCAGGGATTTCTTAAGACATGCAGGTTTTATAGCATTGAGCCAATTCTGCAAAGAGACACAGAAAATGCCCTCAGGCAATTAATAACTTTACTTTCGTTAGTGGCCCAAATATCCCTTATTTTATGTGAATGTGTGTCATATGGAGGTAGGTGATGAATGGCCCATATGTCATGGGAATTAGTAACACTGGAGTGATGTTGCAATGAATTCAGCCCTAATATGAGTGCATAAATGAAAGATTCACAACATCACCTGTGAGCACGCTGTACAAAATTATGAACTTCCTGCATCTGTCAATAATAATCTAGATTGAAAAAATGAAATAATTAAACCATATCACTTGTGCAACATTGTAACCTGATGCTGAAGATGGAAACAAACTCTTGTGGAAATTAGGAACAGAAACATAGACTCTTTATAGACATAAAAAGAAAAAAAAATCAATTAGATGGTAAACTCCATTGTGAGCAACAGTATTTTAGAGGTGTGTTAGATGTTTTAGCAGGTACATAATATAAATCTTATGCATATGTACCTTTCACATCTAACAATACTAGCTGATTTACTAATTTAAAATCTTGGGTTAATTTGTTGCAACAGAGATGTAGCCTGACAATTGCATTACTAAATCTGCTCAACCCATTACAATAAAACAATGATGGGCATTGTAAAAGGCTATATAGTAACTTTGTGATTGAGGTTTCTTACTCTAGAGCAGGACATCTTGGGACAAACAACTAGGCAGTAACCAATGAAGCTGAGGGGATTGCACAATCCGCATGACAGGTCATAATCTCCCATCCACCTAATTCATGCACCTTCAAAACCTTGCTATGGGTATCACTTCCTTTATCTTTCTCTGGTTGGTGTTGACACAGCTTAGTCTCTCTCTCTGTTCCCCCTCACTCTTGTTTCATATTTTTTGCTTTTAGCTTCAAACTCATGCATAACTCTAATCAGAACTGCCTCTACATCTTTCTTCTTCCCCTTTTTTTCCCATGACATGTTGCAGTCATTCAGCTGTGATTCTGTCAGGAGACAAAAATTATCTCAGAGTTTATCTTCTTTTACACAGAATTATGCAAAATAAATTGTCTTCACCTGTCCGAGCTACATGGAAAATGGGACTCAAACCCAGAGATCTTAACTGCAGAATTCTCATTTGTAATGTCTGATTCCTTTCCTCCATTCTAGTGAAAGGAGATATACTGGATGCCTATTTAAGAACAGATGGTGTTTGGATATTTACTCGAAACAAACAGTTTTACAAGACAAATAATGAAAAAGAATGTGCAGACAAATGTGAAGCTGAAAGAAATTTTACCTGCAGGTAATTCCTCATGAATCTTAAAACTGTGCCATTGTGGGTGTCTGCATATCAATGATATGTTCCTAGCTTTACTCAGAACCAACATCCCCGTTCTGCTGCAGCTCTGCCTACAGCAGTGCCTCCCATGCCTTTGTGACTTATCTCCACCCACAAATTACCACAAGATCAAGTAAAGAGTGGATTTACAACGTACTACTCATCTTATAGTAAATGTTCAGGTTCCTGTTCTTATCCAACATTACAAGAAGAAATGCTTGAGCCTCTTTAGCTGCTTTGTTTCACAAGAGTGCAAGGTTTCTAATTCATTTTAGGAACAGACACTTAGCTGAGCAGCTAGGATGTTTTTGATAATGTTTGCCAATGCAGTTTCTAGTTCCCCACACAATAATTTATTAATATAGTCATATATCATTAATAAGTAAGCCACTTAAGAGTAGTAAATAATGCTAACCTCTTAGTGTCTAAAATATTGAATTCAGTATCTGAAAGGTAAGAATGAATATAAGACAGTGCAAGCAAATTAATAATTTATAGAAAAATAATTATGAGTTGAATCGTTTGAATTGTATTTAAAATATTGCTTCCTATGTCAATATTACTTCCTTCTCAATTTCAACAGGGCTTTCCTATTCACCAGGAAAAAGCTACAGTGTTTAACACTGGCAGAAAATGCTAAAACGGCAGTGGCATTCACCAGCACAGACGCAGTTCTTTATGAGAAGATAAGTATGTATACATATTTATAAGTGTGTTACATACATACTTATACATGTATATTTATAAGTATGTTACATATTTATTCATCAAACCCATTCTAATGGCATCCTTCTGTTTTCTGCTGCAGTGCTGGAGTGAATTCTTGTATAGGGCAGAAAACTAATAGAAAATTTGGGGGCCAAACAGGAAGAAGCCACATTACTAAAAATGCTGTTCAAGAAGGATCAAATATCAAGGCCAAGATCACATTCCATAGTGGTCTCCATGTGCCATTTGAACTGGGAAGTTACTTGTTGTCTTCCTTCCAGACCCAGTTATATAGTCTTCACCTCCTCTCCCCAGGTGTCAGATGTGTCCAGCTTTATTATTTAGACAGGCAAAAATAATTTAGGAGGAACCGATTTTTTCCTAGCAGATTGGTCTCCTGTCCTTGCTCTAACATTTCCATTTTATATTTTGAGTTTTGAGAAGATTCTTCTTGTGCAAACAAGAAAGGGCAAAGGGAAGGGGAAGTCAAGATCATTGCCATCAATAACCGGACATTTCTCAGTGCATGTTGCCAATAAAAGAACCATCAACATGATTTGCATTCTCTGTCTTGGAATCCCACTAGAAAAATACCTGGGAGAGCCCGAAGCTAAGATGAATCAAAGGTCTGGGGGCCACTTATTTGACAAGTGTATTTTGATAACTAAGTATTTCCTGGCTTAAAGAGAAAGCTTTAAGGATGACACCCACACTGCAAATGTGCTTATGAACAATGCCTTTGCAAGAATCTCCAGCTGCTGGTGAAAGACACTCCGGTTTATCTGGGTATTATGATAGTATAAGCATGCAATTTTTGCATATCAAAAACTTGATACAGCTGTTCCCGTGACTTGATTTTACAGCTTTATAACAATGCTTCAGAATTTTTTCTCTTTAGATTTAGATTTTAGAATTTTTTCTCTTTTCTTCTCCTAGTAGCTGTAACTAATTTCTTTTAAAATACTTTAGAGAATATTTGCAGGCACAAGAGGTTCAAAGAATAAGTAAAACATGGTTCATCATGTACAGATGAGCTTCAGTTATATCTGCAGGTTCCCAGTACCAGAAAATTAATGTTTTAACATCATTGAATTAAGAAATTTGATTCCATTTCAGTTTACCTTATGCAGTGTAAAAGAGGGATTGGGACAGACTACAGAGGAACAGAAGCCAAGACTCAGAGGGGTATTCCATGTCAGAAGTGGGCAGAAAAAATACCCCACAAACCAAAGTATGTCTCTATTTATGTTTCTTTTTGTTGTTTTGAACCTTTTCCAAGTTTCCTCATCTTCATATATACACACGCAGATTTACAGTGCAAATATATATATATATATATGTATAAAATCCTGTCAGGTGATTTTTAAAAGCAGCTTTATCTTCATCTGTCTTGTTACTTTTTACTCTACTAGCAGAGAACTGCAATGATCTAGATAAGGAAAGGACACATTGGCAGCTAGAGAAGGTGTGTCTAAATGCGAGGTGTCTAAAGCAGATTAAATTCTCTTCTTTAAACATGGTGAAGATTTTTGCTGTTGGTAACAGTGGGTCATAATTAGTCTCCTCTGTATGAAGTGATATCTGTCCAAATCTAGGCCACCCTACTTGCCATACAGATAGTTTAAAAAAAAAAAAAAAAAAAAAGAAAATTGAGAAAAGTATCCAAGGGCCAATTGGATTTGGCTAGGTAGTCTTTTCAGGGCTGGCTGCCATTGGGCTCACTGAAGGAAGCAAGTGGGGAAGCAGAGGTCCTGTTTCCTCTGATCTACGTTGAAGTTCTATTAAAAAAATTTTAAAAAATATTGTTATTCTAATTAAAAACACTCAGATACCCTTTTCCAGAGGAATTTAAAAGTAATTTAGTCTTCTCTGGGAAGATTACTGTAGGAAGAAGCCTAGCATCACTTGCTTCAGATCTCTGTGAGACCTAGTTATGTTTGGTGAACAGTCTCTAGAAATACACAATTTTAAAAGTAGTTTCATTAAGACAAACACATGGCAGAGCCAGATCAACTGGATGCATGTATTAAAGACAATAATTTTCCTTTGACACTGTCATTGTCCTTACAGGCTGTAAACTCACTTCTTACTGGCAATTTGGGCTAGGGAGAAAGCTACTAATAATTAAAGTTAGGAATAATTTTGCAGTTTTCATTTATGGCTTACAGTGGGAAACCTGTATCTCTCATTTTTACTGTGAATGAATAAAATCCACAGCTAGCTGAGCAAGTTGGACATTTCCCTTCTGTGCCACTAAAGTACTGGCATTAAAATAGAGTTTTAATACTTTTACAGTTATACACCTGAAAAATACCCCAATGCGGGGTTGGAAGAAAACTACTGTAGAAACCCTGACGAAGATGAAGGGGGACCCTGGTGCTACACAACAGATCCTGCTATGAGATTTGATTACTGTGCCATCCCAGAGTGTGAGGACCAGGTCACTCACACTGGAGAAGGTATATTTGCTTTTCAGAGAAGGGATGTTCAAGTAGGTATTATTATTCCTGCTACTTTTTTTGTGCTTTATTTCTACAGATTTTTTTCAAATTAGAATTTAAGAAGTTCTCAACAGAGAGGTTGTTTTCCTAATTGGCTTGAGTTATCAAAGTTATTTTGTAAATATGGAAGAAATAAATATTTTTCATCATCTGCTGATATTGTTCGCTTTATCTTCATCTGTGTTGTTACTTTTGACTCTACTGGCAGAGAACTGCAATGATCTGGATAAGGACTATATTGCTCTTACACCAGTAATTTATTATTTAATTGTAACAGGAGTAAAGACTGACCCAAGTGCTGTGTAACACAGTGAACTCCCATTGCTAACAGTATATACAGATACATGAAAAATTCCTCCCTGCAAATGAAACATATTCCTGAAGCATTTTTAATTTGGCCAGGCTGTAATACACGGTTTTCTGAATTCCTTTCATTGTTAGCTGGAGCAAACCCCACTTATCCTTTCAGCAAAATCTTCCATGAATAGGCTGGTGCATTCCTGGCTTTGTTTCACTTCTGCCTAGGACCCACAGGGGAGTGCATGCAGTGTAACGGCGAGGATTACCATGGAGAAGTTTCCAGAACAGAGTCTGGACTTGAGTGCCAACGCTGGGATGTCCAAGAGCCTCATATGCATGGATTTATCCTGAAACAGTGAGTGACACTCAGCACTGAACTCATTCCCACAGAGCCTGGGAGATCCTGCCTGCAGACAGCCTCACTGCTGCACATGGCTGCTGCTGACTCACAAGTTTCTCCTTCATTTTCAATGTACAGCTATCCAGACAAGGATCTGAAGATGAATTATTGCCGCAATCCTGATGGTGAACTTCGGCCCTGGTGTTTCACTACCAACCCGAATAAACGCTGGGAATACTGCAACATTCCTCGTTGCAGTGAGTTTGATTTCCTGAGATCACATCAGAGTAGCTCATTAAAATTATATAGGGAGGGGAAAGACAAGAAACCACAGTTCTGAGGAACCTAGAGGTATCCCTGTGAAGCAGTGCATATTAATAAGCAGAATCACTAATTAAACTTTTATTATGTAAAATCACGTATGATCAGTGAGGATGAAGGTGTCACAAAGTACGATACAGCCAAAGATGCTATGGGAAAACATAATTTGCCTTTAAGCACTTTGCTCTTCAACTTACTGAGAGGCAAGACATTAAGGTTGAATCAGGTGGTAGGTTACTGCTGATCTGCTAACTTTGGAAATCATCTCAAGTACCATATGGCCATACTATGATATTTTACCTGGGACTTATCTGCACGGCCAGCACTGCCTTTTTCTTAGAAAGGGATGAATCCTGAGAAACAAGTTCAGGCCTCAGGAGAAAAACCTGACTTATCAGCAAGCTAGCTTAACCCATTAAGCTGAGCACACTAAATCTGGATATTTCCAAGGCACTGAAATAAGAGGTAGCATTCTCAATTGTAGAAGTGGATTGCACTTCAAGGAAAAAATTTGTGTGTTTTTTCTCTCTAGAGATTGCTTTCTTATGTATCTACACTTGCCAGTGCCCTGAGCAGTGGTGTGTGTTTGCTAGATGTAGTTCTCTTCAGCATGCTTAATTACAGATGTCAGAATAACTATTTATAGACTTTCATATGATAAATTGTGACAGTTGCCATAGCATTTCCATCCTGTGCTTAAAACTTAAAGTTCAAGGAATATACAGCCTTTTAAGGTCATACTCATGTCCTTGGGAAATTCTGTATATTATAGGTATGTGCTGTAAATTCATATTCCATTTGCTTTTTGCAGGCTCTGTGCCTCTGATCATTACTCTTATTTTCTTTGCTGTTCCCCATATGGCAGACCATTTCACTTGCTTTCTTTTTTTCACTATTCCTTCTGTCCCTCTTCCCCAATTCACTGGCTCCAGAGGCTCAGCTCCAAAGGCTGCTCTGCTTTCTCTCACAATTTCTTCTTGGTCCTTTCTGCCCTCCCACACTACCTGTGTGTATTGTATTACTGTACTCCATCTCACTTAGGTTTACAAGACTGTACAAGAGTACTTACTGCCTTTCCTGTTCTGCTCTCAGGGGACAGTAGGCACAGAGTCTGGCTCAACCAAGCAAGGTTATTTACTGGCTGCTGTAAAAGGGCAGACACAGGACATCCATCTGGCAGTCTGGAGGCCCATAAAAATGTCCTCTTTGATTTTGACATGGCTTTTAAACAGCGTAACCTCTGCTGAAAGAAAAAAAAAAGCATCTTCAACATTACAGAAACAAAGGCATTTATATACTTTTGAAAGCACTACTTAGCAGTATTTTTCTCCCCTTTTCTTTTTTTTTTTTCTTTTCCTGTTACAGATACACCCCCACCAGTCTCTGGCCTAGACTTGCAGTGTCTTTCAGGGAAGGGTGAAGACTATCGAGGAAGGATAGCCATCACTGAATCAGGAAATTCCTGTCAACACTGGAACACACAGTTTCCTCACAAACATGGCTGGATTCCTGACAGATATCCCTGCAAGTATGCTGAGCTTCATTATTTTAACAAATACCAAATAGTTGTTCCCTATCAATTCAGATGCAGAGGCAAGAGGAGGACAGGTTTTCCTCATTTATGTTTTAAGTTGTAATTCTCGATGTTTGTCAGTGCTCATTACTTCTGTTAGGTCATGCTCTTCATTTTTTTCGGCCTCCCTGTTTATTCTCATATATTTTTCTCACCTGTCTCCTCCATATCCCACAGCAGAGCTATAAGTACTTCACTACTTTTATGTTAAAAATCCCTTGGCTGTGTTTTGGCACATATTCAATGAATTACTCTTCTGAAGAGTGATGCTCCGAGGACAACATACTCCAATACATCCTTGTGCTCCAAGGCCAGAGGAGCTGGGTTTGCAGAGCATTACTGATGTGCAGGAATAACTGTGACTGACCTGTCTTATAGCTCTGTAGTTTGATCCTGCAAGTTTTCCTAGGGAGGTGAAACCCTGTCCAGTCTCACAGGGCAGGGAGCAGCGTGCATCAGTATTCCTATGCACACACTTCCAGTCTGTCACATCCAGCCTTGCCTGGCTCTTACTATAATCTCGGGGATATCAGTGCCTTCTGTTTAGAAGTCAGCTCTTACTGCTGCATCTTGACCTCAACAAGAGCAGAAAGAGTAAGCATTGGAAAAGTTCCTTCTATAACTTGAGCATTTAGACTCTGAAGTCAAAGATCATTGATTAGTCCCAGAGGAGCGGTGCATGAGTTAATTAATCTCCAAAAATAATGAATACACCACTGAGTTGAATTCTGTATACAGTAGTTGTTAATAGTCATGCACAAAACTCTTCTGGATTTCTATGAGTGGTTTAAAGCCAGTGTTCCTGTTTCCTGTTTTAAGGGGCTTAGAGGAAAACTACTGTAGAAACCCTGATGGAGAGAAGAAGCCTTGGTGCTACACCACCAACAGCAGCGTTAGATGGGAATATTGCACAATTCCTCCCTGTGACAGGACAGAACAAGGGATTGCCGGTATGAATAGTGGACTGTACTTGAGATAAGGACTTCAAAACAGTGAAATATTTATTGTTTCATATTGTAAATGTATTAAATCTTTTTTTTCAGTCACTTTGTCACTCCTAATGTTTGTCTGCCTGGCATGTTGAAAAATCTCCAAAAAATAAAATTAAAATTTAAAATATTAAGCTTTCAGCTGTTAGGGAAATACAGTGAAGGATGCAAATCACGAGCTGACTCAACAGAAGAATTACAGGATCAAAGATATTTATGTTTTTATATTCCTTTCTTTTCAAAGGTAGGCCAATTATAGCAAGTTCATTGAAAAATGAAAAGGTTTAAAGAGATGAAAAATTGCTAAATAAAATTAACTCCTACTTTTGGAAGTTAGCCACAAACGAGAGGACAAGAGCCTTCAATGTAATTAAAAATCACATTGAAACATTCATTCATTTAAGCACAAAATTAACAAGAAAGTCTTAGCACAATCAAAAGGATAATAGAGAGACTGAAGTTTAACATAATGTGTGTTTGAGAAATATTATGGGCAAAATCACCAGTATCTGGTCTTTGAGGACTTTGCATGAGAACTGTCTTATCTTTAATTCTGATACATTCACTCATGCCAAAATGAAACTAACTGGTGAACTCTGCACTGAAAAACATCTAACATAAGATGTTAAAACTGTGAGTTTTCTCAGTATCTTTGGAAATGCCCTTCTGCTGCAGGTGTGATGACTTCACTGGATACTGTCTGCATAAACGAGTCATTCATTTTTATCATCGTGTGTGTTTGAGGCTTTCTTGTGCCTGCTCAGTAAGAACATTAAAATTACAATGCCAAAGACCAGTTTCTGTTGTTCGCTGCAGATGTGCCTGTACAAGTCCCCCTAGCAGAGGAGTGCTACCGAGGCAAAGGCCAGAGTTATCGTGGCACAGCTTCTGTCACTGTATCGGGAAAGAAGTGCCAGGCCTGGAGCTCCATGTTCCCACACACGCATATAAAAACCCCGGACAGATTCCCAGACGCGTACGTTTACCTCACTTTTTCTGGCTTTCTCTGGCAATAACTATTGCTGGTTGTATCATCTTTGCACAGCTATGCTTTAAAACACTGCTAGGGAATATATTGATAAAAGAGGACTTTTCTAAGATACAGAAACGTTTTCTGTTAGTCTCATTTGTAAGAATTGTATTTTCTTGTTATCTAAATTCTGAGTAAAATACAGCTATGTCCCTTACTCTTAAATCTGATCTTCTGCAACCAACACCAGGAGACTTTTATCCAGAGACAAGGCATCTACTGAAATATGTGTTTTGTTTATGAATTTGAGACCTTTTCTTGTGGCCTTTCCAGTGATTTAATCTGGGGAGGACACAGAATTTATGATACAAAACACGCAGTCAGATATGTCATGCTTAGAAATACCAAGTGTTCTTTGCAGTTGGAGTTGGGCACCCAGAATTGCATATACTGAAATTTCCCCTTGATTTACCTTCTTCGGATTAACATAACTGGACCAGGAATGACTGGACCAGTGACAGGCTAATTAAAATCACTAATGTGCCAGTTTTTAGTAAGGCCAGGAGAGCAACAGGGTTACAATTACAGGAGCAATTGTGAGAAAATCCATCATGCTTAGTGGATTATAAGCAAGAAGGTTGATACTTTTCTAATGTTTTGCCCTTTTTATACTGTCACCCTAAATAATTTGAAATTTTCAGTTATATTTTGGCATCAAAAAACTGGAACATCTTCAGAGGGGGTGATAACTTTCAAAAGCATTTCTAAAAATTAAAATCAAGCTGGGAAAATGTGGAATTCATGTCTTCTGTCATATTCAGAGAAAAAGCATTTCAGTTCTTTTTCATTCTGAGACTGTGCTGTGATTCAGGATGGGGAAATACTGCAACTCTGCAAATTATTGAAAAGATAAATTCTACTCCCCCATGCCCCATCAAGCACAGACATAAGAGTGGTCTCAATGAAGTCAGTAGAAATAGGGATTTGGGGGTGTAAGAGGGGATCAACTGCATAAGCATTTGTTTGCCATTCTTCTGAACATGAAAAGGAACCTTTTGACATTTAAAAAAATTCTGGAAAAGCCTAAGTTCCCCCCAATAGTATGAATCTTCCTGCATATGTATTACTAATTCACACATTGTCACAATTGTGTATGCTTACACATACCTACTTGTAAATTAAAATAATTGCCATATGGGGCAGTTGAAATGTACATTGTAATATTACAGCCAAAGTATAAGCCAGTAGTTGAATTGTTTCCTTATGCATAAGGAAACAATACTCCAATGCGTATGTGAAATACAACTCTTCACTAACATCACAACCACAGATGTGTTTGCTGGTAATAGGATATCTGGCCATAAGTAAAACCAACAATTAATCTATTTATTTGTACATAGCAGATGTACCTAGTACATCTTTTTGTCAAGATATTCCTATGCTTACTTTCAGTCTTATGCAGCACAACTGTTGACTTTATTTGTGCAGGGATTTGAGAGACAACTATTGCAGAAACCCAGACGGTGACAGCAGCCCGTGGTGTTTCACCACTGACCCCAACACGATTTGGGAGTACTGCAATCTCAAGAGGTGTGATGATCACACACAAGAGCCTGCACCGAATGCTCCCCTGGAATGATGGAACAAAACATTGGCCAGACTAAACCCACCACATCTGGTAACAGCTGGCTATAGGCATCACCTCCTGTAGAATCTGTGGGTAAAGGAAATAGCAACCTATCAAAATTATTCTTGAGTGTCATGGTTTAACCACAGCCAGAAACTAAGTACCATGCAGCTGCTCATTCATTCCCCCATCCCTTCTTTGGTGGGGAGGAGAATTTTTAAAAAGTAAAACTCATGAGATAAGAATGGTTTAATAATTGAAACAAAATTACGTACAGTAACTATAATAATAATAATAGTGGCAACAATAATAATAATTGTAATGAAAACATGAGAGAGGGATAAAACCCAAGGAAAAAAAGTGATGCACAATACAATTGCTGACCAATGCCCAGCTGGTCCCTGAGCAGCAATTAGTGGCTCCATGTATGTGATAAGCATGTTGCTCTATGGGATGGAATATCCCTGTGGCCAGGCCAGGTCAGCTGTCCTGGCCGTGCTTCTGCCCAGCTTCTTGTGCACCTCCTCACTGACAGAGAAGGGCAAACTGAAAACTCCTTGAGTTAGAGTAAGCAGTACTTAGCAACAAAAAACAAAATATCAGTGTGTTAAAATCATTATTCTGATATTAAACCTAAAACACGGCACTGTACCAGGTACTAAGAAGAAAATTAACTCTATCTAAGCCAAAGCCAGGGTGCTGACTAGGGCTGCAATGTAACAGTTACATCCCTCCTGTAGCTTTCAGATCCGTAGTGCTGCATATTGCAGCAAGTGCTCTTTAGTTAGTATATGTCCTGTAGCCTATGTCATTTTACAGTGCATTCTGAAGGATGTCTTTTTCTTTTAGTTGAACAAGAGGAAAACAGACATTTCTAGTATTACTCTAGCTGTGTGTTATTGAAATATGTGACTATTATTACTGTAAGAATTTTACTTGTGTTGTGCATTTTGCTTTCAGGAGGGTGACCTTAGCATGTATTGCTCATAAGCAGCTTTGTTTTGCAATATTAGATAAATGAGGTTTTGCTCTGTCCTGTTTTGTTACTTCCTTAATTAATAGTCCACATTGGTCAAAGTGGCATGACATTTCTTAAAGTATAGTGGAGCTTTGCATGAGTTACTTATTTTGCAAAGCAAGGTGGCATGGTTGAACAAAAGACACATTACTAAATTGAATTACATGCTCTTCTTACATGCATCAGAAAAAAAGTACCTATAGCAATGTCAGTTGGAAACAAAAGTTGCTCTTTCAGTCTAATGGACTGCTGATACATGCTTCTCCCATGAAAGTGCTTACTGATACCAGTTTAGCAAAATAACCTGAAGTCTTTCCATATATTTGCAATATGTTACAGGAAATGTTTAGCCTGAAGTTCCTTGATATGAATATATAATCACCCCGAATTTATGAATGGAAGTGTTAAAAAACATTATTTTTGTGGTGAATTTACTCTGAGAAGCATAGAAAACTGTGCGGTAAGAATAATCTAACTTTGACTATAAGCAGGTAAATGCACATAATTTGGAATTTCAAGGCTCAGAAATTGTTTCAGAAGCTCAACCTTTCTGCATGAAGCCTAAGAATTGAAGTATACACAATATTTTTTCTTAACTCACACAGTCACCCAGAATAGCAGGACAATTATGAAAGGTAATACCTTACTCATATTAGCCCAATGCTGTGAATATCCCACTCAGCTGAAGCAAAGTCTGTAATACACTGCCTGGACTTAGAGATTGTGGGCAGTGCATTCACTGATAGAGTCAAAAATCATCAGACATAGGTATTCATATCCTGCTATGACTGCATTTTAAGGTTAATATTTTAACAGCATTAAAACAATTAAATTATTTTTGTCCAGATCAAGTAGATCGGGGATATGGAAAATGAGGAAGGTTCCATTTTTGTGTGTGTAATTGACCTCACAGTGATCTGGGGATGTACTCACATCCATGACTGGTGGATCTTCAGACCAAGAGCACGGCCTGGATGCTTAGTGACAAGGGATTCTCTCCCCACCCCCCAATTTTTTAATTCCAGCAAGTCTAATAAAGCACTATCTCTCTCTACAGTCCTTGTGTCAGTCACATTTTAAAGCCTTTGGAGATACAAAATTATTCCCACCTGTATTTTGCTGTTTGCATGCCTAGTGTCCCTATTACTGGAGAAGTTACTTTATATTCTCTTCTCCTCCCTAGCCTGAAGTTGGAGGACCTCTGGTCTGCCAAGACAAGGACAGATTTGTTCAATATGGAATCACCTCTTGGAGACTGGACTATACCCAGACATCAAAGCCTCGATTTGTCCAAATTCCTGGTTTTCTTTCTTGGATCAAAAATGCAGTGGCTTCCCACTGAATATGGGTGCAGGCTAATTTTGCTGGAAAGCAGTTCCTGTGTCAGAAACAACATTCCAAGTATGGCTTTATGACTGATTTTTAAAATTATGAAATAATTCATAGGAATCCTTAATAAATACCACTACTGCCTGAGTGTAAGTAGCTATCGCAAAGCAAGAGCTGAGCTGACCAATTGCTACAGTCTGTCAGAGTAACTGTGTTGTACCTGTGTGAGTCTGCCATGGTTGCATGTGACAGCAGCTGTAAGGCTCCTACTTCACCCCTGTTACACTCCAAATACCAAAATCCAGGAATTAAATTGAAGGTTCCTTTACACTAGTTGGCACCAAGAGAAATCCCAACTAGATACTCTCAAGAGGTAAAAAATCACACAAAAGCTGACTGGCAAAACAGAAAATAAAGGGACTTTGGCAAAAGGATTAAATATTACACCATATTCAACATAAAACCACTGATCATAGCACTCACTACTTAGCATTAATTTAGTACATAGCATTTCCTTAGTCCATTTCACCTAGAAACCTTTAAACCAGTGAGACCTCATGTTACACAACGTTTTGTGATACTTGTTGGACTTCTAAATTGAGTTCCAAACAAAGCTTGGCAAATTCAATTTAGGCCACCTTGCCTTTTGGACTCCACTATCTTCCATGTCTAGGTATCCCTATGACCCAAACAAATACACATGTCCCAAATCATCACCTTTATTCCTCCCACCAAGCTGGCTTCAGGGAGATTCCCAGAACCTGTACTCACAGAGAGAGAAAAGGTCATTGGACACCATGGGAAACAACATACACTGCAATTCTACTAACTAAAATGATCTGGATAGCCTCAGGGGTGGGAGTCAAAGATAAAATAACATTCATTCTAATCTCCTCAGCATATCATTTTCAGGGTCATGATTTCAGACCATAAGCCTTTTCAACTTAACCAAACCCTTCAGCGTTTCCCCAGACTAAATCTTTCTTTTAATCCTTTCCTGTCTACACCTGGCAAGACTCAGGAGCTGGGTTATTATGGCCTCTAGTGATTGATTGATTGATTGATTGATTGACAGCTCAGCGAGGCTGGGGGCTGGGGGCAGGACACTGTCTCACCAGAAGCAAGGCCTGACCCATCTTCAACCACCCACACTCCAGCACTGGTTTGAGACACTCAGCTTATCCAGCCTCTGACAACCACCCCGTGTCTCAGGACAGTAGACCAGAACCACTGCACTGGGACCTTTCCTCTCCTGCTCCAATCCAGTAGATAGAGAAGAAAGGAAAGAAGTGGAAAGCTTAGTGAAACTCCTCTAAGGGGCAGCTGCTATTCACAAATCTAGTTAATATTCCTTTATGAAGTTCTTTCCCCCCAGCACCTCTTGTGTCCAAAAAGCACAGGACAATCAGACTCTGGGGGTTGGGAGCTCATGCAGCAATCTTTCAGCACCCAAGGAGCCAAGCAGATCATCCATGATTCCCAGTGTGTTCTTGGAGGTGACATTTCCCTTCTGTGAAGTTTAACATTATCTAATATTAGACAATTTACACAACTATTTTTGATACTTGAACTTGTCAGCTGGAGTGGTTCCCAGAGGTTTTTTTTTCCTCTTGGGTCTGATCTTTAAATTTTGGAATGAAATACAATGATCTGGGAGAAAGCCAACAGGGTATCAGCTCCGTCTTGGGCACTGTTACGGATCCCACACACTCCCAGTACTTTTATCACATGTTGGAGCAGAGAGAGGGATCAGTTCTCCTCACTCTAACAACTTTAAACTTTTCATACAACAGTATGAAATAGTATGGTTAAAAGACTAGAGTCCTTTACCATATGCTTTCTCTTCAGAAAGCTTTATATCATTTCCCCACTAAAATTTAAAAAAACCTCTGACCTTGTAACTTAATTAATTTTGTTGCAGGGTGTGGTATTATTACCTTCAGTTCTGTGGTTTGATATGCCAGTTCCTTGACAAAAGGGCACAGCTGAGGGTGAGTGTCCAAGGACACAAAATAATTATGAAATCTATCATGACAAATCAACCACATGCTAAAGATTTCCTACGTGCTGTTTGAATGAAAATGGTTTGGAGAGTGGCTATGCACACCTAAAACGCTACTCTGCATAGAAGTTTTGACCACCCTAGATTGGTCACCAGTCAAGCTTCACATGGCACCTCAGAGTGAGAAACACTGTCTGAATAATGATGGTAAAGTGACAACGGTTCATGGCAGAAGGCATTAATGGTGCCCCTTCACATTCTGAAATATTTCCATCCAGTGCCATCCATGACACAGCCTGATAGCAATGTGGTTGTTCAAATCCAAACTCATGTCCTGAAGCCAGGGAAGTCACAGAAGTTGCAGCAGAAAGGACAGCCGGGTACGTGCAGTCTCAGAGTTGAAGCACTGTGTTGAAGGAGAGGCAGGCAGGCTGCACCCTACTCAGGGCTTGCAGCAGAAAACAACAAAATGGAAGCAAGTTAGCACCAAGAGGTAGTAATCATCAGCTCTAGAAGCTGGCTGGATAATCAGAGGTAACTGTTTATGGGGAAGAACTTAATAAATATTTCATTTTGAACGACTGTTGACTCCCCAGATGTGGAGGTCTTGGGAGTGTTCCGCCTGCCTTTTGCCATGGGCAATAGATTCATAAACATCAGTCAATAACTGAAGGCACATATGTGAGTCACTACTTAGGCACATTACAAATTTTTGATTTAACAACATTCTGATTTAGGAAACTCACAGCTTTATTGTGGATTTTATGCAGTGTAAATGCTTCTTTTACTATGTACTTGCCTGGAAACATAAGTTGTTAACATATAAAAGCAAGAAAGCTGTGTTTCATTTTTGTTCCTCCTACTCTTATAATCCTCTCTTTTGTTTATAAAGCCTTCCACTAATGTCTTTTCTTTGGAAGCTTAATAACAGAGACAGCAGAGCAGAAAAGAATCTCTAACTAGAGGCTTCTGAGCGACAGAACAAAGTAACAGAAGGATGAATATCAATCTTTCTAGACTGGAAGCAAATAAAATCCTGGTGACAATCTCCCTGCCACTGCTCTGCCACTCGTGGAAGCACGAATAGTCCTTAGCAAAGTACATGCTTTTGTTGAAAATGCCTAGTGGCAAAATACTGAGCATACTGCATAATACGTCAGTGATTCACTTTCCTCTTTCACGTGTGATTTCTTCTTTCCATACTGCTCTCCTGCTCACTTTCCCCCCACTCAAAACTCCTTAGGCTTTGAACTCTCATTCACCCAAGCTGTCAAATTCCTATGAAGGAGAAGCCTTTATCCAGGACTCTTTTACCAACAAGGAGGAAAATGAAATCTAGGTATCTGAACTAAAACATAGCATTCATTTCTGTAGAAAATTTAAAACCGGACTTGTCCTTTATGTTTCGGCAGCAGCTTTTGCTGCTGCAAATCATGGGTGCACCTGGAATAAGCCAAGTGACAAACAGGTTGCAAGGGACACCTGGAGGTGAGCTCATCCCAACACCTGCTCAGAACAGGTTCAGGTATGTCAGATTGCTCAGTGCCTTGTTCCTGTCAAATTTGAAATGCCCCCAAGGATGAAAATCCCACATCCTCTCTGGTGCCCTGTCTCTGCATCTGAATACCTCAGTGGAGGAGTAATTTCTCCTCATATCTAGCCTTAACTTCTCTTGTTACAGTTTGTGTCCTTGCCTTTTGTCCTTCACCTGCTGCTGCTCCTCCAGGATGACTCTGGATCCTTTTTCCCCTCAGCTTTTCAGAACTGGCTAACTGTAGACAGCAATGAGATCCCATCCTTCACTCTCTCCTCTCCAGGATGAAGATGCTTCTTCACCTTCCTCACACACCCCATGGCGCAGCCCCCCAGCAGCTTGGTGGCCCTGCACCTCCAAGGCTGGGCCCACTCCCGTCTGTCCTCTAGCAGCAAGGCCAGAAGTGGCTGTGGCAATCCTGAAGTGCCCTCAGGAGAGCTGAGGAGAGTGAGGAATCCCTTCCCTCAGGCTGCTGGCTGAAGTTCCCTCTCTAGGGCTCGGTGCGGGCTCACAAACCCAGCTGGCCTTTGCTGGCACAGCCTGAGCCCAGCACCTCAGGCCAGCCTCTGCAGGGTCGCTTTCTGTACCCCGGGCATCCAGGCGCGCTGATATAGCACGGGGCTATTCCTGCTGCCTGCAGGACTTTGCCAGTTTGCAGCAGCACACTCAGGCAATAGGTGGCACTGATGGACGACGTAGTTTGGGTTGTCCCCGAGAAAACGTCACTGCGGAAGAGAAAGCCGGAGAGCACACACCGGGATTGTGTCCTCACCCGGAGCAGCAGCCAGGCAAGGACGAGCAGACATGTGGCGGGACATCCTTCCAAACGCATGGTGAGATTTCCTCGGCACGGGGAGGAGGGACTCCAGACTGGGCTCCCTGGGGCTGGGGGGGACAAAGCCCCGGGAGGGACACCAGGTCATGGGAGAGTGGGAGCAGGCAGCTGAGCTCTCCTGGGCACGAGTGCAGAGGAGGTGTTGGTCCACTGAGCCTGGGTTTATGTGGCTCAGAGAGCTGCTTATGGGACAGGCTTGCTGTGCCGGCAGTGCAGGGCTTGTGCTACTGCCTTCCTATCTGGTGTCAAACCTCTGCTCACCGACCTCCAGGATGTAAGTGCAGAGGGATATTCCTACCTGTTGCATAAGCTATGTGTTCTTAGGAGCCCTGCTCTTCCATGTCTGGAAGTGATTTAAGGAAAAAAAAGCACACATAGGCTGTCCCTGCGAGTGTTACCAAATTGCCTTGGAGGCTACTGGGATATCCAGTATAGGCTCCAGGTTCTGCACTTCAGACAGCAGAGGGAAACAATTCTAGATGATAACAAACTCCCAATGGACTTGGTTTTTCATGGATTGGCAAGTCTTTTTCTTTTTTTGGCATTTGTTTTGGTTTGTTTTCTCAAAGGACTACAAATACCATACTGAAGAACTCCCTAATGTGGCTGCGTTCCACAAGGCACAGTAACAAGACTTCCTTCTATCGTTGCCAGATCTTAGATTATGCTTTTGTACCAGAATCTAGTAGGCTTAAAGGGAACCGAGGAGGATACTTCCTTTCTGTAGCAGGCAGTGGAGACCTAAAGGCTTGATATGCAGTCAGAAGTAGCTAGAAGAGTCA